GAGCAGGTTGCTCTGGGTGGACAGGCTGGGGCTGGGAGGGGACCGGAGTCGCACCCTAGGCCCGTGTTTTGGGACAGGCGGGGAGGGGTTCCAGTGAAGTGGATTGCAGTAAACCGGAACATTCAGATATCTGAGCGTGGAAAGACGGAGCTCCCTGTCCCCGGAGGAATGCAAGCAGAGAAAGCACCCTTGGTGGAGGGCAGCCAGGGAGGAGCCTGGACCCCCGGCCCTCGCTGCCCTGGCCTCAGTGAGTCATCCATCCCGAATGCTGTCTTGCTCAGATTCTAGATTTAGCCTGTCTGGCCACATCTTCCGAAGAGTAAAATTAGTGGCATACCGGATGCCCAGCTCTCTGTTCCCCTCCTGGAAGTGGCTGCTGCGGGAAATTACCCAGAATGGGTGGCCAGGAGCCCCGGGGGATCCAAACCACACTCCCCTCCCGAAGTGGCCCTGCCCAGGAGCCGCCAGGGCCTGGCCTCGGAGAAGAGGCTTTTGCCACCTGGTGACTTCCCTGAACGTTCTAGCAGCGCTTCCCAGGGAGGGCTGGTGCGGGAGGAGGGCTGCTGGGCGAGCCTAGCGGCCACTTTCTTCAGAGCCCGGAAGCTAGACTGGTTTTTCACTCACTGGCTGGGTGACCTGGCACCGCTTCCTTCGCCTTCCTGAGTCGCTGCCACAGTGAGAATAGCCCTCCCTACCACCATCCGCAGAGGCAGGCAGGGGCGATGGACTCGCTTCTCTGGGTGAGTTCACCGCGTATGTAAAGAGCGTGGCTCAGTAGACGTGCGTCAACAGGGGACCTGAAGCCCAGATCAGAAACCAGTTGAAACGGACGCTTCTTTACACATGTGGAGGGTGGGCAGGGAAAGTGTTAAATATTTTCCACCAAAGATACAAAACTTACTAGTAGCTCCACAGCCTGAGGTTACCAGGTGAGGGGAAGCCAGGCTGCCAACTGCTGTTCTTCAGGGGAACCTGCTTCTCCTTCAGGTGCCCCCCGCCCCCTGCCTCTGTCCCCAGAGCCTGAGCCTCCAAACCAGCTCCCAGGCCCCTCTTGGCTGGGAAGCTGAACTCACACAGGTGCCGGTGCCGGGCACAAGCCATGGGGGGCCCCTGTCCTGTGTGCCTAGAAGGCAGGGCGGCAGCTGGCCCCTGGCTACCTGAGACCGCAGTGCTCGCCCACACTGACCCTCTAGCGGGGCGGGCTGTGAGGCCCAGTTCACAGATGTGGAGACCGGGCGGGGGGTGAAGCGGCCTGCCCGAGTCCACAGCCCTGTTGCCCATGAGCACGTCAGAGTCTGGCAACCTGAGGAGCGGGCTGGCTTGTCACCCAGTGGGCTGGCGCAGGGCAGCCACCGGAGACCCAGGGGGAGCTGGGGCACAGAGCCAGACAAGCCTCGCCCCGAAGCCCTGGCACAGCCAATGGGTTCTCTGCCTGGAGTGGGGTGACATGGCGACGTCAGCGAGAAACTCCTAGGAGCCAGGCCCCGGGTCACATGCTTTTCGCCTGTGCGACCTGGGGGCGGGGGGTGGGGGGGCATGGTGCCGGCTGGCAGGGTCTGGGGCCAGTTGGGCCTGCTTTCTTGGCAGGGCTTCCAGGCCCCACATGTGGCCGGGACTGCCGCCAGGTGTGTCCTGGTGTCCTGGAGACTGGGGGAGGGCTGACCCAAGTGGCCCCACCCTCCACCCAAGGCCTCCAGCCCTTGGGACTGTGGTCCAAAGTCCCGCCCTCCCTGTGTGACCTTCGCTTTGCCAACTGTGCCATAGGGGGCACCTCTTCCCTTTTCCCTGAGCATCCCTAGCGTCTCAGGGTGAGAGGCCTCTTCTGTGGGCCCCAGGCCGGTGGGGGCAGGTGTCCAGCACAGGCAGGGCTTCTGCCAAGGTCACCCGTGCCAAGCCAGGCCCACTCCAGGCGGAGGGGCAGGCAGTGCACAGAAGGCTGGGCTTGGCCACCTGGCACTGCCTAGCCGGCTACTGCGACGCCTTTCCACCCCGAGGGCCCCGCCACCCGCCTGCCCTGTTTATACTTGGCTTCCGCAGGAGCTAAGCCAGACCCGCCCGGGATACGGCCCAGGGGCCGAGCAGCACAAGGGCAGCGGAGCTCTGGCACCCCCTCCCTCCCTTTTCCATTTGAACAGAACCGGCCCGGTGGCTGTCGATGTGGCTGGCTCTGGTCCAGATGGCCTGTGTCCTCAGCCCAGACACCCGGCAGGTTACTTCCGGCCTCTCGGCCATCAGAACACAGTCAGTGGGCCCTCCCGAAGAGCTGGCTGGACCCCAGTCTTGTGCGTGGTGAGGAGGGAGGCTCACCGACATGAATGAGGGGACACGTCTGTCCCGTGGGGGTGACTGGCTGCTTGGGGAGAGGCAGGGGTAGACTGAGGGACGTCTCAGGATGGGGTGGGTCAAGTCGGTGGCAGGGAGAGTGAACGGGGCCCCGAAGGTCGAATTCGACTACACCTGGGTCCTGTAGGTCTCACAGAAGGCTGGGTTCTGGCTGTTCTTTCACAACGGACTGCTGAGCAAGGCTGGACTCCCTGACTGGAGCCCTTGGGCCAGCCAGGCTGGAGCATCCCACAGGCCCTCCACCGAGTCTCACACCCAGCCCTTCATCCGGCAATGCAGGCCCTGGGCTCCCCGCAGGCTCCCCTCTCAGATCAGGGGAGTGGAGGCCTGGGCAATGACTTGCTAGGGACCTACAGTGAAGCTGCACCGGTAGGGGGCTCTTAGAGTGGGCACGGGGTAAGGAGGACACAGCCCCAGATGGAGGAGTCCACCGAGTTTAGAAACATCTCACTGACCCCAGTGCTGAGGGCCCCACTCAGAGTGCAGGCCACCGAGCAAGAGCTGGGAAGAAATGAAAACTACTGGTGCCTCATGCCTGTGGAGGGCCTCTGCTTCCACCCCCATCCCTCAGGACTCAAAAGAGACCCTCTTTAGAAAAGACGTGGCTGTAAAAAGACTCCTTCTAGGTGCTTCCATGGGGGACTAGTAGGCAGGGAGCCAGGAGCCGTGGCAGGGTCATTGGGCTCCCCGCTGCCCGCCCAGACCATGGCTGGAAAGCAGCCCTGGGAGCGCCAAGAGCTGCTGGAGGCAGACAGGGCAGAGGGAGCCTCTGTCCTGGCTGTGCCGCCTCCACACGGCCCGGACCACTCTCAGCCGCTTCCCCAGCTCTCATCCTCCCTGCGCAGCCTGGCCCAGGGCGGTCAGGACTCCGCGGAACTGCAGGACGCAGGGCCTAGCGCAGGGGCCCAGCTGTACGGAAGCTGTGAACGCTCCCACTTTTCAGTCACATTTGCCAATACATTCCTCCCAGCAAGTCGCCTCTTTCTGCCACAAACAAAGTAAGTTCCAATGTGCCACATCTATGGGGAGTTTGGGCTCACACTCCTCTGACCTTAAAGGGGGGTCCTGACTACTTAACTGTGCTCCAGCGTTCCTTCCCCAACGCCCCCC